ACATGGAGTTTCTCAAATCTTTACGGGAGGCTGACAAAATGGGCATTTCGGGGGCAGCGTTCATGAGTATTTGGGAGAAGGAGATGGAAGATCAGCAACAGGGCTTACAGTCCAGTCAAAAGGTATGGTTTGTATGATTGGTGTAAAGATCTAGATCAAAATATAGTAGGTCTCGAGGATAGATAGCAAATATTTCAATCAAGATGGGTAGCTGGTGAAGCTGATCACGTGATAAAATGTTGCTGTTGCATTCATGAGTAAGCTTTCATGATGGGAGTAAACTATAGTTCACACACCAGATGTATATATATATATATTAAGGGCACATATATATATATATATATATATATGTATATATATATATATATGCCTATAGTTATATATATAGGCATATATATATATATATATATAATATATATATATATATATATATATATATATATATATATATATATATATATATATATATATGGTAAAAACATTAAGGTGATTTTATTATGAAGTGACGTCACTTGGGATTGGGATCTGGTTTTTTTTTATGCAATCAAAAATAAATCGGCAAACAGGAAGCAACATTTGAACAATGACGTGTTATTATCTTCAGGGCAGGGCCAAAGGTACACAGTCAGCTGAGCTCCTCCTCCTGATCAGTAAACTGACCAATGAGATCACCGCTCTCAAGTCAGAAGCACATCAGCTGAGACAGGAAGTTACGACCCTGCGCTCTGACCTACTTAACCAGAACACGGAAGTGATAGAGAAGACAGTGAGCCGATGTTTGGCGCAACATTTCCAGGAGTTTGAAGGCAAGTTCAAGGTGACCGTCATAGAGCCCCCAGCAACAAGAGCGCCCTCTGCATCAGAAGTGTCATCAGATGATGATGGTGATTTTAAAGATGCTGCTACCAATACGGTGTTCCAGTATTTTCACTTAGCTGAAATGGAGTTTAGAGTATATCTTAACCAGCTGGGCTCTTCACATTTTCATTCGAAAATTATCAGCCCTCCCTACCAGATAGCCAATGCTCCTGTGTCAGCTTCCCTCGGTTGTTGGTTGGATGAAGAAAGACAACTCTGTATCAATGCTGCAATATTCAGTAAAAGTTACCTGCCCTTGCATCCCAAATCTTACTTCCGGGTGACAGGTCAAATAAAGAACAGAAACTCCGACTCATTTTCAGGGCTCTTCGAAGGGGAGACAAGACAGCTTAGCGAGCTGAGCCCTTCTAGGAAAGAATGGTTTGAAATCAGCGTGTGTTTGAAGACGTGTAAACGCTCCTACAACAACCCAACTGTGGGCGATTTAAAGCAGAGAGGATTTGTATTAGACCAGTCTCTGGTCATACAATGGGACATTGAACACAAAGTTTACAACTCGCATTAATTTTAACATGTAACACAGTCTCCCCCCCCCCCCCCCCCCCCCCGAAGAGATGCCTTAAAGAAACTCTGCTGTTTACATTGTAAGGCGTGGCGAAAATTATAGATTAGAACTATTCAGCAAAATTGCACCAAAATATTAAAATAATATTTTCCATTTTTTTACTTTCTAGTTTATGGGGGTATAGTCATATAGAGGATGTATTGTAATAATGAAAAAAAAATCGACGTTTTACACCTTACTAGGTCGGAAAAACTGAATTTTTCATTCTTGACTGTAAGTTTGTGTGTGTATATGAATCCAAAAACTCGAGTTAGTTTCAATTAGGTTGACGAAATTCCATATATATATATATCAGAATTATATCAAATTTGTATTTTTCTGCCATCTTTTTAATGATTTCCGGAAATTACTACTATATTTCCGTGAACACGATAACGTGAGTACTGTTTCAATTAGGTAAAATAAATTGTATGTATAGGTAAAAGATCTTATACTTAGATTACTTTCAATTTTCGAAGTAACCTCCGATGTTCTCAAGTGGTATTTTGAACTTTTTTCGGTCTCTTAAAATACCGATAACTTGAGTATCGTTTCAGTTAGGGGGACGAAATTTCCTTTATAAGTTTAAGATCTTATACGCTGTTGTCTGTCAGTTTTTAAGTCATTTCCTTTTAACGGAAATGGTATTTTGTTCTATTTCCTTCTGAAGACAAGATACTTGTTTTTACCTGTATGTGTTTTAGTCACAAGGGGTTTAGTCACAAGCTTCTATAATTCTATTGTCAGATTGCACTTGAAATGCCATCCCTTTTTGTTATACAAGAATGCAAGATACGGGATAATTTTAGGGGAGTTTACTCTAGCTTTATTTTAGTTAAATATGGTGTGTAAAACACATTTTGTTTTCCGTTGATTATAAATTTAAATTGTTTTAATTTTTTTTTTTAAATTGTAAATATTTGATTGTGAAAATTGATTAGCCTACTGTAATTTTTAAAGTAGATGTTAAATTTAGAAGTTAAGTTTGTTGTTAGTTTTATTGTTTTATTGAATTGAATACTAAAATTAAAATCTGCTATAAACTGTTGTAACAGTTCATGCCCTGAGTCGGCTGGACGCAGGGATGACTGGCCGCTGACCACGCTATCCCCACAGATTATAATCTCAGAAAAGGGCAGCCTACAGTGTTTCTTCCAGACTTTTTTCTCCGGGGGGGGGGGGGGGGGAGGGGGGGGGGTGGCGGACGCTGTTAAAAGTATATATTTTCAATATAAATTTCATTTCGAAGAGATGCCTGGAAGTAACTCTTGTAGCCTAACATGCTCAGCAGAGCTTTATTGGATATTGTTGTTATATCATTGATATTAAATTACTTTTTGTTTTCAATTGATTGCCTAGAATTTTCAGGTGCTTTCCAACACAACGTGTGAAAGAGATGGCTGTTTGATGAATGTGAGAAGACCTATGTATGGTGGAAGGTGTAGGTGCAATTATTATGTTAAAGGAAGATTTTGTGGTGGCCCAAATATTTAATTGGGACGGGTCGCTACGACTCTGCACACAATTGGTGGAATAAAATTACAATCGCAATTTTATTAGAATTACGATAATAAACAATAACTTGAGACATCATCAAAACGAGGTTTAACATACTGGTAGTAGTATCTCACAGACGAGTGGGGTTGGTATTTCAATAAAGAAAATACCCAACTATTTAAAAAAAAATCCTTTAAAACGTTATAGTTTATTTTTTTTAAAATATGGACAGTCCGAAGACTGAAAGAAAAAGTGGAGAAAGGAACATTTCAAAGAAATCAGTTAAAATAATTTGTGATATATATATATATATATATATATATATATATATATATATATATATATATATATATATATATATATATATATTTATATATATATATATATATTATATATATATATATACTATATATATATATATATTGTAGGTCTGCTATATTAGTGTGCAGGAAGCTTATCGGAACTCTTTACCGTTGACCTAGATTCCTCTGTTCATTTCAAAGCGACGGTCAAAATGGAGTTCCTGAAAGCTCTACGAGAGGCTGAAAGAATGGGAATTTCTAAGTCGGATTTTATTCCAATTTGGGAGAAGGAGATGGACCAACATCGTGGCTCAAGTTCAACTACAAGAACTATGGTATGCTAGACACAATTCTGAACGATAATGTACTAGAATCTGCTACTAACTAGGCTACATAGATTTAATTCTTTCTTGAGGCTTATTTAGGCCTTTACAAATTAACTGCATATTTAGATCTCGGCCTATAGTTTTAACTCCATAAAAAAATAGAAAAACGTCCGTGTAATAGTGTAATTAGTGAACAAAAAGAAATAAATTTTATATTTATTTTCACGTTACAGTTAAGGCTGATTCTAGCGGAAGAAGATGCGCATGAGTAAGTTTATAAAGAAGCGTTACACATGGTTACCTGTTTTTCTTGTCAACTTATTCGTTGTCTAGGGCCTAGATTCTAAGCCTATGGGTTGTCTTAGTAGATTTAAAATCTAAAAACGTTATTACCCAATAAAAAGAACTTATACTTTTTATCACAGACAAGTTGTCTTTACTAGATATACGACTTTTACTACAGATATACTATATATAACTATACTATACTTATATCTAGTACTGAACCCTCGACCCCTGATGATCCACCCGAAGCGCAACCGCTCGACCCTACAGTTAGTTATGTCAGAGGAATAAGGGTAATCTGAGCCCATTGCGCAGCTATTTTGGTTCTTTGTGTTTTGCATCTTCTCCCGCCAGCCTAGAGGCTTGGGGGCAGAAGACTCTTCTAAGTATTTCACTTTCTGTGACCCCCAAACAGAGCCTCATCTGAACCGTTAACCCGATCAATACATACAATTGCAATATGGGTCATAAAGCCCCGCCAGTGACATATATTAGTCAAAGGATATCCAGGAACAGATTGTTTTGAGCTTCCATTAATGCTGTTTATACATGACACTTTGTAACTAACAAAACATAGGCATTAACTTTTTATTTTGATCTATATCAGTACATCATTTAGCCCCGAAAGACACAAATATCGATTCTGCAACAATTGTTGACTTTGCATGTTATGCATTGGTGTCGCTAGGTCGGGTGTCACCCGGTGCGGCACCTAATGGTGTCACCCCCCCCCCCTATTTTGCCTAATGGCAATCAATTTATGCACACATTATAAATTATATTTATCGTTTTCATCGTAAATAACTAAATTTCGATGTCACCGCTCCCCGGTCGTTGATTGACTTGTCAGTTATTCAAAATACTCAACACAATCTTTTTTCCTCTGTTTAGTTTATAGAGTGTTACATTCGCTTTCCCCCCCCCCCCCTCCGCCGGGGTGATAGTTTTAAAGTGTGCACCTTTTATAGTAAATATTAACACAGGTGGATTACCTCTAATTAATCATTAATTGAACTGGCAAAAAGCATTTCTCTTCTATACATTTGCAACTTTCCCCCATGGTGTCACCCCACTAAATGGTGTCTCCCGGTGCGGTCCGCACCCCCCTCCCCCGCCTCGCAACGCCTCTGATGTTATGCTTTCTTACTAATGGAGTTTATAATGGATTGTAAGCTATTTCCATAGTGCCACACATTTAGAAGAAGATTGCATGGATTACGACTACAGAGTGGGCTTCCAGATTATGACTCAGATATTTATGTGCTGAGGTTGTTTATTTTAAAATCAAATCTAGAACAACGCATCAAATAATTTTTCTTGTTTGGGATGCTAATTTTACAAATGCCTCCTCACATCCGCTGTCAATAAAACGTTACCTGAAAATGTTGAGCATTGCCTACATCTCTGCCTATATAACTACACACGAGCATGATGCTGTAGTACATGTAGGTGTGCTTTTTTGGCAGTTTTGTTTTCGAACTAGATAGATACGGGCCGAAAGATCAATAGAAAATGACGAGTTGACTATAATTCTTCAATCATTGTTGACATAGATGAAAAGTTTTGATTTTGACAATTTTGCCTTCATGGCAGAGAAAAAATTTATTAAAATAATGCGTGAGTGATCTCCCCTATACTTTCACGTTCATCCTAAAACTAGCCATCGGTACCCTTTACACGGGCAATTCTGGTTACTTTTACTTTTTAGCTCTCTTCTCTTTACAAAAGGCTACCCGGTTTTTCTTTTAGATATTTATCTCCGGGGAGCGGCATTTAAAACTGTCAGGAGAAGGGTGTGGGGATGTGTGTGTGTTTTGGGGGGGGGGGTCGGATACCAGTCAACACAATACTTTATTAAATGCACTCGCTGATTAAGAGGCTTAAAGTTAAGAGACTTAAAAGACTTCGTTAAAAACCCGGCTGTTCAATGGTAGTTATGTTGTATGTGTCTTTTAAAAACACCTATTTCGGCTGAGCATGGGTCTGACCTTACTATCCCTTCATATGCTGAAAATGCAGAAACAGGTTAACTCTACTTCACCCGACTCGTGTCCGCCAAGTCCCGATAGGCAACTTTATCATTCATATATAAAAAGCAAATTGAAAAATAATAATTAAGAATGTCTTGTTGAGTCTCGAACTCGTACCACCCTCATGGTAACAATTACACTATCATCTCAGCTTTTTGGGAACCTTAGAAATCTTGAAAAATAAAATAGTTATTAAGAAACTTAACTTACGCGAATAGGCCCTATTCTATCAAATTAAATTTTATCCCAAAAATAGCCAATTCCATAGCTAAACAAACAAAGATTTCTATAAACAATTAAGGCCTGAAATAGTTTAGTAAATACATTTATTATTGGAATAGATTCTAGATCTAGATAGAATCTAGACCTAGATCTATCTCTAGAGTCTAAGTCCTAAGTCCTAAGTCTAGTTTTTCCCTCAGATGTTGATCTAGAATCGCCAGATCTAGATCTAGAACCTCTAGATCTAGAGTCCAATCTAGAATCTCTAGATCTAGAGCCAAATAGATAAAATAAATTTTATAGT